CTCTAACCGTTGGCCACGTATGTGATTTTGCACAGGATGTTGTCTCTGCTGATCTCTTTGTCTCCCTCTGGTGGACTGACCAGCGTCTGGCAGATCATCGCAATGTTGATTTTAGCGCGAACGCATCTGTTGTTTGGCTACATGAGGACAAAAACAACAAAACAGTGAGCCATAAATATATACAAGTCAGAATTGATCCACAAAAGCCATAAATGCATTAAATGTTGCACCAAACTCGTTAAACAGACAGACTGACTCAGCGGTTGCCATGGAGACCAGACTCACCTGGGCATTCTCGTGCTCGACTGAGAAGTTGCAGACGAGCCATGTGTCTGGATCGCTCTCGTTATTGGCTATAATCTTACGAATGGCAGACAGGTACAAGACGTCTCTCTGGGACGCTGGCCACACTCTCTACACGGAGCAACACACAAAACACTCCGTCAGAATCAGTCGAATCACTGCGAGGAAGTGCCTTGGAGACAGCCTGCACTCCTCTCACCTTATGAGTCTGGTACATGATGATGGCGGTATCGGACAGCGTCTCCACGATGTTGAAGTTTTCGACAGTAGCTGGAGACAGAGACAAAAACAAGAGCTAGAAGTCAAGTGAGGGCTGAAACACAGAGGTACTAGACAATGATGAGTAATTCTACCCATGATGCACCACTATTGACTGCGCCAGTGATCATTAGGAGGTACGGCTGAATTATCCGGCCAGTGAAAGTGTTCTGGTAAGTCACTGTATTAAAGCATGGTAAGAGTATATGGTGCCTTTACAGGCCAAACTGTGCCGAGTCACTGAATGTGCTCCATTATTAATAATATCATACAGTAGAAGAGCTTTATTAGATTATATGAAGATGTGTGACGTTATACAAACCAGAAAAACTGATTTTTCATGATATTTTGAAATAAAGTAATAGACTGATTTACTATTTAATTGTACTATTCACATGAACTAAAACTATTTTTTAAAAATGTTCATTAAAATATTGGTGAAATAAAAATAAAAAAATACATAGAAAAATGCTACCATGAAAACTAACTGAAATAAGTTTAAGCACTAAAATAAATAAAAGCTAAAACTGAAACGAAACTACACTAACTTAAATATAAACACACACACACACACACAATTACTAAAAACTATAATATTATATAAATAATAAAAATAACACTGCTTTACACAATCACAACTCAAAATGAAAATGTAGCTTTGCATCACAGGAATAAAGTTAAATTTGAAAATCTATTACAATAGAAAGCACTTATTTTGAGTTGTAACAATATGGCACAATATTTCTGTTTTTACTGTAGTTTTAATCAAATAAATGCAGCGTTGGTGAACAGAAAATACTTTATTCAAAAACTTCTTAAAACTTTGAATTTTTACATTTTAAATATTACCAACAGTAGTGTATGTGATGATAACATGAGTAATATTAATATAATGTCTGTATATGTATATACATGATTGATACAGGATATGATGAACATCAATATAATATATGCTTTTGAGAATTAATTTAGTTTAACATTCTGAAAATATTTAATCATTCATTTTCAATTGGCAAATAACAAGAATAGACTATTTATTTTTGTAAGTATTATAATAATAGTTGCCGAGTCACTGATGAAATGTTTAGTGTAGAAAAGCTCTTACTGATTCAGTGCTGATCATGTTTTTGTGCAAAAAACTTAAATGGATCTCAGAAAAAAAGAAAAGTGATGGTTATGGCAGCTTTAAGCTTTAATGTCTGTAAGACGGTGTTGTATGTGTGTATATATATATATATATATACACTCACTCTCCCAATCGTTACGAACATCCGTATTCCAGAAGTAGTGGCAGAGCTCGTGACCTGTGACCCTTTTGACACAGTGTGTGGCCTTCAGAGGGTCCAGCACGATCCCGTTCTCCTCCACCTCTCGCCGGTACACCTGAGAGAGACAAACACAGACAGTCAGTGAGTCTGTGGACTAAAGCACACACATCAGATCAAACTAACATACATTAGATCCAACTCACCTTCATCTCTCCCTCTTCCACCACCAGCTGCCAGTTAGCGTCTCCACCCACGTCCTGCAGCGAGTAGGTCATGTGATTCTGAACCATCTCCTCCACCTGTCCAAAACACAGCAGAACAAGAAGATCAGAGGTCATGCCCTCTCATTTAAGCGGATCTAGATTAATAACACTGAAAGTCAGCATTACACAATACTGACTAAATATGACAAACCACTGCTCTTCTGTAATGTTGGATTACTTCTGTATTTCTGAATGAAACAAAAAGAAAACTACTCCCCTCCTGAAACATCACCAGCACACACTTTTCTGAGGTCAAGTTCTTCCTCCAGAGAATTGGCACATACAGGTGCATCTCAATAAATTAGAATGTCGTGGAA